TTTCAGCCCCTGCTTTTTTCTGTTTTCCATTTGCTTGGTAAATTTTTTCCTATTCCTTTATTTTGAGCCTATGTGTGTCTTTGCATGTGAGATGGGTCTCTTGACGACAGCGTACTGATGGATCTCAGCATACCACTGTGCCATTCTGTGTTTTTTAACTGGGGGCATTTAGCCCATTTATACTTCAGTTTAGTATTGTTATGTGTGAATTTGATCCTGTCATTGTGATACCAGCTGGTTATTTTGCAGACTTGTTTATGTTGTTGTGCGTCATGTCACTGGTCTGCATACTTCAATGCGTTTTTGTAGTGGCTGCTACCTGTTTTCCCTTTCCACATTTAGTGCTTCCTTCAGAAATTCTTGCAAGGCAGGACTGCTGGTAGCAAATTCCTTCAGCATTTGCTTGTCTGAAAAGGATTTTATTTCTTCTTCACTTATGAAGCTTAGTTTGGCCAGATATGAAATTCTGGGTTGAAAATGTTTTTCTTTAATAATGTTGAATATTGGCCCCCAAGTCTCTTCTGGCCTGTAGAGTTTTTACTGAGAGGTCCACTTTTAGTCTTATGTGCTTCTCTTTGTAAGTGATGTGGCCTTTCTCCCTCATTGCCCTTAACATTTTTTCTTTCATTTCCACCTTGGAGAATCTAATGATTACGTGTACTGGGGTTGATCTTCTCATGGAATATCTCACTTTTGTTCTCTTAGTTTCCTGAGTCTGAATATTGACCTGTCTTGCTAGGCTGGGGAAGTTCTCCTGGATAACATCTTGAAGTATGTGTTCCAACTTGGTTCCATTCTCCCCGCCTCTTTCAGATACCCCAATCGGTTGTACGTTTGGTCTCTTTACCTAAAGCAGCTGACGCCCATCCCTAGCCCGACTCTTACACTCTACTCTGGTGTATGAGGCTGTATTTATTCATCCATCACTGAGTCAGGGTCTGCAGGACAGACCTCTGCAGGTGGTGATCAATGTCTCAGGTGGAGACCCTGATGTGATACTCATCACAGCTGGTACCCAAACAGGGACACCAGCTGTGGCATTGATCACATCAGTTCTCCTCACACTGGGGCATCAGCTGGCATTGGTCACATCAGTGGGTCTCTGTTCAGGTGCCAGCTGTGACAAGTATCATGTCGGGGTCACCACATGAGACGCTGATCACCACCTGTGGAGGTCTGTCCTGCAGACCCTGACTCTGAGAGATGAATAAATACACTCTCACACACCAGAGTACAGTGTAAGAGTTGGGCTAGGGATGGTCATCAGCTGATCTCAGAGGGTGACTGCAGCTAACTGACCCCCACTCCCTGTTCCTCCTCACATTTATTCAGTATCAATTTAACAATAGAGGTTTTAACTCAACATGCTTGTGGATAATTAACATGGTTAAAAGAGTGGTTTTATTAATGATAAAAGGTCTTGGTTCTGGGGCCCAGAATAAACACCACTAATGGGTAATTCCCCTTTGACTGCACCCTGAGAGGACCATCCAGCACACAGTTTACATGAGTAAACAAATTAGAGTAGGGACAAAGGAATCGGGTAAACAGACTTACCTGAGGAAGCTTCTATTACCCTAATCTTTACCCTATGACTTAATGCTTTAAAGTAAGAACTGGTTGCCTTCAGCCAGTCTCATTAAAAGCTTTCAGCCTTCCAGAGGGTTTGAGACTATAATCTATAACTTCCCTAATATTTCCCTTAATATTTTGCCAGCCACCTGAGTGGATCCCAACAATATACTAGCTGGTTATTTTGCAGACTTGTTTATGTCATTGCTTCATAGTGTCTCTGGTCTGCATACTTCAGTGCGTTTTTGTAGTGGCTGCTACCTATTCTCCATATTTCTTGGAGGTTTTGTTCATTCCTTTTCATTCTTTTTTCTGTCCTCTTATCTGCCTGTCTTATTACAGAAAGATAGTCTTTAAGCTCTATGATTCTTTCCTCCACTTGGTCTATTCTGCTATTGATATTTGTGATCAATATCTTGTGTGGTGGTTTTCAGCTCCATCAGATTGGTTATGTTCCTCTCTTAACTGGCCATTCTGCCTATCAGCTCCTGTATTGTCTTATTATAATTCTTAGCTTCTTTGTATTGCATTAGAACATGCTCCTTTAGCTCAGCAAAGTTTATTACCCAACTTCTGAAGCCTACTTCTGTCAGTTCAGCCATCTCAACTTCAGCCCAGTTCTGTGCTTTTGCTGGAGACATATTATAGTCATTTACAGAAGAAGACGCACCCTGGCTTTTTGAGTTGTCAGCATTTTTGCATTGACTCTTTATTATCTTTGTGTGCTTATCTACTTTTGATCTTTGAGGTCACTGACTTTCAAATGGGTTTTTTGTGAGGTCTTTTTTGTTGATGCTGTTGTCTTCTGTTTGTTTTTCTTTCAATAGTCAGGCCACACTTCTGTGGGGCTGTTGCAGTTTGCTGAGGGTCCACTCCAGACCTTAATTGCCTCAGTTCTTCCTGTACCTGGAAGTATGACCAGTGAAGCCTGCAAAACAGCAAAAAATGGCAGCCTGCTCCTTTTTCTAGAAGCTCTGTCTCAGGGGTGTACTGACATGTTTCCAGCCCACATGCACCTGTAGGAGGTGGCTAGGGACCCCTGTTGGGAGGTCTTACCCAGTCAGGAGGAATGGGATCAGGGACCTACTTAAAGAAGTCTGGCTGCTTTTTGGTTGAGCAGGTGTGCTACATTGGACGGTCCCTTCCTTCTCCAGACTCTCTGGACTCTCCAAAGCTGGCAAGCTGGAACAGCTGAGTTGACTGAATGGAAGAGATGGTGGCCACCTCTCCCCACAGCTCTGTCTTAGGAAGAGTTTGAAGCGTTGTCTGTATAACCTTGGTTGGAGTGGCTGAAGTCCCTGCGGGGAGGTCCCACCCAGTGAGAAGTAATGGATGGGGTTCCCCTTAAAGAAGCAGTCCGGCCATGATCTGGCAAAGCAGCTGTGCTGTGTTGTAGGGGATCCTTTCACCTCTGGATCATTTGAACTCTCCAAAGCTGGCAGGCTGGAATGGCTGAAGCCAGTGAATGGCAGAGATAGCAGCCACCCCTCCTCCCAATAATTTTCATATTAGGGAAATGAAATTTTTGTTATATTGGGTTAAGTACAATGCATAATGTAAATTAATATTACCTGCTTGTTTTTACTTTTGAAATGTGATTATTAGAAAATTTAAAATTAAATGAGTGACTTACATTACATTTCTATTGGGCAACACTAGTTTCTAGCATAGAGAACATCTGGCTATTTCTCAAAGATTTCACTGTTCATGTGCCTCGTAGCAGAAAAACAGATGCAATGCAGGTATACAGGTCACCAACTACATTGCAAGTTCCATAAAGGCAGGGACTATTGTTTATCACTGTATTCCCAGCACCTATGTCATCAGGTACATAGTGGATGCTCCAGAAATATTTGTTGAAAAAGAATGAATGAATAGTACTATTCCCAGGTTTCTCAGTGCATAGCAATTGTGAATGTTCAGTTAATGCAAGATGACTGAATCAGATTTTATCCAGATGGACAGCACAGTGGAAAGAACATTAATGTTGGAATTAGACATACTTTGACAACTGTATGACCATGGGCAATTTGTTTTAATGGACTTTTAAAGAAGTTATAGCTTTCCACCATGGATAGTTTGAAAAAAAATTAAGAAAATATGCAAACACCAGAAAACAGAAAGAAAAACATGTTTAAAGATAATTTCATGCAGCTGTATGCTGATAAGTGTTCAATTGGTTCTTGACTGGGTGTGTGTATTCATATATAGATACAATTTATCTTTAGTATAAATTTTATTGACTTGAAAAATGTGTAGCACACAGTTTCATTAATGATAATAAAATATATAATAGTCTTCATTTTAAATTCCATAAAGAATTTATTTTGCCGAGAGGGCACTAGAAGATAAATTCCAATTATTCTCACAGAATGCTTTCACTGACTTTGCTAAGCACTTATATACCTAAGCAGCCTATAGTTGTAGTTGATATATGAGTATAGGTTTTTTTGTTTTGTTTTGTTTTTGAGACAGAGTTTCCCTCTTGTTACCCAGGCTGGAGTGCAATGGTACGATCCTGGCTCACTGCAACCTCTGCCTCCTGGGTTCAAGCAATTCTCCTGCCTCAGCCTCCTGAGGAGCTGGGATTACAGGCACGCACCACCATGCCCAGCTAATTTTTTTTTTTATTTTTAGTAGAGACGGGGTTTCACCATGTTGACCAGGATGGTCTCGATCTCTTGACTTCGTGATCCACCTGCCTCGGCCTCCCAAAGTGCTGGGATTACAGGCTTGAGCCACCGCTCCCGGCCATGAGTATGGTTTTAATACCAACATTGGTTGATATTTTCATTTAAGTTAAATAATAAGAAAAAAGTTATTCAACAAAGACATGGGCCAGATTCTCTAGAGAAATGTGCTTCCTTCATGTTTGGCCTAGCTTCATTCGTTTATCAATGACACGAGTAACTTTTTTGCTGAATTGAATAATGGTTTTCAAATACCAAAAGAATACTTCCTATTTTTTGTGCTATTCACAATATAATGGCTACAGATATTACACACTATTAAGTTTAATCTGCATTCCTCCATTGCTATTTTAAGTCTACAGAAACAATCATCAAAACAGCAAATCAAGACCTAGTTTATAGCAATTGCCAATTTCTATGGGGTAAGTACTCCCACCATGGCTGATTTTAAGACATGCAGAGTTAGAAAGACATGCCCACAGGTTCTCCACTGACAAAGGACAGATACAATAGATACAATTTCAACAGCATAGACAGTAAGAAAAAGTCAAAAAAGGATTAGAAAATGATCAGTTTTGAGTATTTACTACCTTTATTTTTAACAGAATTTATTTAAGTTTTTATAATTTAATTTTTAATGATAGCTTGCAAAATTTCTGAGAATTTAACAATTGGCTCCCACAAACTAGTACAAGCCAGCTCCAGCTCACAACCGGCTCATGTGTCTGCCCCTCCTAGGTCGGCTTGGGAAACCAAAAATTACACAGAGTTTAATAACATCTGTGAACAGCACCTGTAATGTCACACTGACATGCTCTGTGGAGAAAGAAGAAAATAATGTGACATACAGATGGAGTCCCCTGGGAAAAGAGGGTGATGTCCTTCAAATCTTCCGGACTCCTAAGGACCAAGAGCTGACTTACACGTGTACAGCCCAGAACCCTGTCAGCAACAATTCTGACTCCATCTCTGCCCAGCAGCTCTGTGCAGGTAACCAGCTCTGTTCTTCTCTCCTGGTGAGTCCCAGCGATCACTCTGAGGAGCTGCAAGATCTGAATGTGGGCCACATTCTCTAGAGAAATGTGTTTCCTTTATGTTTGGCCTAGTTCTGGGGCCACGACCTCTCAAGTAGCCCACTGGGAAAGGGGCCAAAGCCTTCTGAGAGATGCTAGACATGTCTGGGTGTTCTGTGGCAACCCCTGCTCAACTCTCTGATCCAGTTTCTCATCCTGGCTTTTAATAGCTGAAAGTTTAGTTTCCCTAGGAGCTTTGGCACCCCTTTGGAGGGCGCCCAGTTTTCATAATTCCCCTCACTGTGGACAAACCTGTCCAGCCTCTTGGGCCTCGTTCCTGAGAATCAAGACTCACTGCATCTTCTATTTTCAGATATCCCAATGAGCTTCCGTACTCACCACACCAGTTTGCTGAGCGTGCTGGCTATATTCTTTCTGCTTGTTCTCATTCTGTCTTCAGTGTTTTTGTTCCGTTTGTACAAGAGGAGACAAGGTAGGATTTTCCCAGAAGGTAAAATGTGGAAACTCACCTTCTTTCTTCCCAGGACTGAAGCCATTTATCCAAGGTGCTGCAGAGAGGTCTGTTGTTCCAGGCAATCAGTCTTCCTCCAATCCCCACCCCACCACCTCCCAGAATGAAGGCTCTGAGGATGGTGTGACATTACCCCGAATGGTCTTCAGAATCCATTCCTGTGAACACCAGTATCTGGTGGGCCCAGAACATGGGTTCTAGTTTAGTACCTACATGAACAAGCTGTGCTTCCTTGGACAAGTATGTTCACCTCTCCAGCTCAGTGTCCTCCCATGTGAAATGTTTGGACTAGAGGATCTCCAGGGTCACTTCCAATTTCATTGTATTTTGATAATGACCATTGAAGAGTCATTGAGAAACATGTTCTAATTCTGTATTCCATGGTTGTCACTAGATCCCTCTGAATCCCTCCGGATCATTCTGTAGTTGTGCCACTCCCAACTCAGAAAACCTAATCTTAGAACCCCAAGGAATCATTACACCCTCCTATTCACCCACATGCCATGTCCGCCCAAGACATGTTTCACTCCCAGTCAGTCTGGGGGAGGAAGTCTCAGCTTGACCATTTGTTAGCTACCAGTTATTTTATCACTGTAAGCTTCCATTTACTCAGTTGTAAAATATTCACAGTAATAAGGTGTGCTGCATATACTTATTAAGTGAATGAAATGGAATTAGAAATATAAAGTACTTTGCCCAATTCCCAATACATAGTAAGCACTTGGTAAATGTTAGCTAGTATACAGATAACTCATGGGCCTGAGGCATGGTACCGAGGAGGCGTTCTAGGGGGAAGGGATTTGTGACATCTGTCATACTCAAATGGCCTCACCGTGGGGAGAATTCACAGCCTGCTTGAGCCACAGGTGATCTGCAAGGTCCTGCAAAGAGATATCTGTCTTCAATCCCTCACTGGCTTTTGGGAAGAGAAAGGGGCTATTCTCTGCATCTATAAATGAGAAAAGAGAGAGCATTCAGTTTGTCTCATACTCACCAAATATGAGGCAGGGACTGGGACAGGACTAAACTCTGAATGTTGGAGCTCTGTAATACTGCTCAGCTCAGACCTGCTATTTGGTGCCCTGGATTATGAAGGCCCAAAATTCTGGTCGTCTTTTTTCACCTTGACTCTAAAATGTTCTGTGTTAGTACAAAAGCAAAGGAGTACGCTGACGTGAATGTCTCTTCTAGTCCATACATTCTTAAAAGTAAAGACTTACCTACTGGCTTTTCTTCTTTGGGGCCTCACACAGAGCCTGGCACATAGAAGGAGCTTAATAAATGTATATTCACTGTATGGATGGCCGGTGCCATGGCTCATGCCTGCAATCCCAGCACTTTGGGAGATCAAGGCAGGTGGATGGGCTGAGCTCAAGAGTTCAAGACCAATCTGGGCAACATGGTGAAACCATGTATCTATCAAAAATACAAAAATTTGCTGGGTGTGGTGGCACATACCTGTAGCCCCAGCTACTCAGGAGGCTGAGGTGGGAGGATTGCTTGAGTCTGGAAGGCAGAGGTTGCAGTGAGCCATGAGTGCACCATTGCACTCCAACGTGGGTGACAGAGTGAGAGACCCTGTCTCAAAAACAAAGACAAACTGTGACTCAATCAAACAAGCAATAAATGCTCGTGGAACATCCACTGTGTGCTTAACATTGAGATGGTTACAGCAAGGTCTGCACCAAAAGAATGCGAAACTGTGTATACCTAGAGAGAATCAATCAAGTTAAAAAACTAAGACTGTGACATGGAAAGTCAACTAGCCATGCAAGACAGACAGTCAGTGGTAAATGTCAGAGAGACGCAGGGAGATCCTGGGTGGAAGAGCTTCCTTTGACGGCCCACACAGGGAAGGGTAGGGAAATTCTCTTTGGCCTAATCTGGACTCTAGAGTAGAAGAGAATTCCCACTGAGCTGTGCTTGAGGCCTCAGCCAGGTGCCTCCTGAGACATTCGGAGGATCCAAGCATCCATCTCAAAGGATGGGAGCCATTTAACCCCTGGTGGCTTCCTTTTTTCATCTTAAAAAGAGAACATTGGAATAGATCATCTCTAAAAAAAACCCACCTTTCACAGACTGTGGATCTGTATGTATTTGTGAGACAGATGCGGCCTCAAAGAAAACCACATACACATATGTCATGGCTTCAAGGGACACCCGGCCAGCAGAGTCCAGAATTTATGCTGAAATCCTCCAGTCCAAGGTGAGCTGATGCTATTCATGGACACCCCTGTGCCACCATCTCCACGACGGGGAGTGACGGTCAGCCATTGCCCTCTGCCTGTTGTTGTCTAGAAAGTAGCCACGGCCAAGAGTCTGGAGGGTCCAACCAGGAATGCCATGTCAGGGAAGTGATGCCACGGATCTTTCTATGAGGACAGGAATGTGACCCACTGTCACCCCATGGCAGCCTCCACGGGCTGAGGCCCTGAGCGCCCCACAGTGGGCCTGGCTCCAGGTTAGACGAGCCATGACTAGGAGTAAGGCGCCCCCTAGAGGGGCCACACAACAGAGGAGCTCCTGGTGTGAGGCGAGGGCTGCCATGGGACTACCAACGAGGTGAGCAGGTTGCTAAGGGAGCTCCGAGGCTGCAGAACTGACAGAGAAGTTCCCTCGAATGCCCCTCCTGGTCTAGCAGCAGCGGCTTGCTTTCCTCAGACTCAGAATCACTGTCCCACACTCCTCTTCCCACCCGCCCTTTCCCTACCTGCCCTCCCTCCTCTCCACCCGGGATCACCTTCTCTTGTGTCCCCACCAGCCTGCTTCCTTGAAGTCTGCAAGGAATCAAGGGGGAAACTGAGGTCTGCCTGGTCAGTCTAGCGCTGTGTTTGGACTGATAGGGCCGCCGGATCCATAGAGCCCATGGAAAGATAAAATCCTGACTGAGCAGGATTTGGCCTGAACCGTGGGTCCCCCTCTTGGCCTCTGAGGTTTTTCACCGCCGAGACCCTGCCCAGCTGCTACCCATTAGCCCCCACCTCATCCCTTCCTGATCCTAATCCTCTCCAGAGTTGAATGGAACCAGAACTGAGGCCAAGGGGGAGGCCACCTAGTAAATGTGAGACTAGGGAGGGACAGTGGGTAGAGGCAGAATTAGGAAGAGGGACTTGGAAGATTGGGCCTGGGCTCCCTCACTGAGGGGAAGATGCATGTTTTACAGGTGCTCCCCTCCAAGGAAGAGCTGGTGAACACAGTTTATTCCGAAGTGCAGTTATCTGATAAGGTAACCCCTTTCTGGCTTTTTAATCCCTGTTTTCCCGTCTCTTCCAGCCATTCTGGTGTGCTCAGTCCATCCTACCAGGGGCCAGCTGGTTGCCTTGGGATTCCTTGTAGTTCTCAGGACTTACTTCCTAGGGTTTTGGTCTATGTGTACTTCCACCCATGCACAGAGCCCCACTCCCCAGGCCAGTGGCCACCCACAAGTTGCCCTACTTGGGATGCCGATCGCACCATGCAAATGCAGAAAAGTCCCCAGGCCTCTGAACTATGGCGTGGGAACTCTAGCCCAGGAACTCCAGCCCATATAATACCTCGGTGTGAAAATGAGAAAGCTGGTGCTTCCCTCTGAGCAGACACAGACCTATACCAGATGCTCAGATGGGCACAACGGAGCAGAAGCTGAATTTCAGTTCATTTGTTCCCTCAGCTGCCCTTTCACCACATGCAGCCTGCACAACAAGTTGTACTGTCAAGTGCCTTGTGCCTTATGTCCTTCTCTGCCATATGCATAGCCCTGTGACAGGACTTTAACTTTTGGCATCTAAGGAGGGATTGTCAAATCTGAAGGTCCTCACTGCTGCTACAGTCAGGTCAGCTTTAGGGTTGCTTAAAGAATCGAATATTTTCTAAGTATTCCTGTTTAATAGCTGAGTTACTAAGCAGGAAGCTAAAATGAGTAAGAATTAAGAGCTGATCCTATAAGGCAATAGGAAGGACATCTATGAACTCGACAAGCAGGGGAGTGTACTTCCATTTAAGGAGGACTTGAAGCACAGGGCAGTTTGCTTGTAGAGATAGGCCAAATGGACTGCACAAGCAGACAGAGGGACCTTTACTTCCTCAGTGACCAGGAGAGGGAAGGAGGAAAGAAAAAGAAGGGGAGGAATGAGGAAAGAAGAGAAGGACAGGCAAGAAGTGAGGGTGAGGGCGCCCAGCGTATTTGCACGGGGATCCCTAGGAGAGTTAGAGGAAGAACAGTACTCTAACTTTCTAGCAAGTGTAAAAAGGAGATAAAATTTGAGGGATTAATCAGGGAGTCCTGGACTGTGACATCTCAAGATAAATCCTTATAGACGAGTTAGATGGCAGTTATTTGTCAGTATTTAATTTAAAACCTAAGACGCCTCAAGCCAATAGGAAGGTTGTTTATAGCCCTCTAAATGCTAGAGCACAGGGGATGCTAGCAGTGAGTCCCCACTATGTATAGGTGAAAGTAGAGTTATTGGGATACAAAAAAAAAACAACAACAACAAAAAACAAACTAGGGCCCAACTGGGAACAAGGAATGCAAGTAGCTTGAACCTCAAGCCTATAATCAAAATCCATGCCAAATATATGCCCCCCTCCCCCCACTCCATGCCACCATTCCCACCCGCTCCTCTTTTCTGGGCTAAGAAGTTAATTGCCCAAGGCCTCCCAGATGGGGGCTGGCTAGAGCAGACACAGGGACTCAGCAAAGAACAAGGCCCTGCTACCCCAGATTTCCCCAGCACCAGGCAAATCTAAAGCATCCCCCTGTGCCATTTGCTCAACTCCCCTGGGAACTCACAGGACTGGAGTTCCGCTGAGGTACCTTTCAGTTAACATGTTCTCACATCTTCGTCTCCTGTACAGATGAGGAAAGCCAGCACACAGGACAGTAAACCACCTGGGACTTCAAGTTATGAAATTGTGATCTAGACTGCCGGGCTGAGTTTTCCCTCTGGAAACTGAATTACAGCCACCAATATTGGCAGGTTCCCTGGACCCAGCTCTCTGCCCAGCTCTTACTAGGAAAATGCAAATTGCCATATTTCAACATGTAAGCAAAGCAGGAAACCTTCTGTTACTGGGCATAGCTTGTGCCTAAGTGGACAAATGAATGCATACCCTTCCTGAAATGGCTCCCTTCTGGATGAATGACGAAGCAGGTTATCTAACCTAGTGCTTCCCAAACTTCTTCCCATCCTAGTATATGTAGAAAATAATATTGTTATGGCACACCGGGGTGTGTCATAACTGATTGCAACAATCAAGATTGCTCACATCTGGAAGCTGCATATGACCAGAGGCCTCTCATGACTGAAGGTAACAAACCTGCCCAGCAACTGTGGGAGAAGGGGATCAATATTTTGCACACCTGTAACAGGGCATGTCACACCAGCCAAGATGCTCTGCTCACCTCACTGTCAGTATGTGTGAAGATCCCCAGTGTGTGGCCTCCACCAGTCCCTACCTCACAAATTTGGAAAAGGTACCCTTCACTTGAGGCAGATGCAGCCCTTCCCCCGAGTGCATGGCTTGGAGAGCGGAATGTGGGCTGCATATGAGCACACTCATCCCTTTCTCTGGAAATCTTTGTGCAGGGCACAACGTGCTCGGTAACTCCAAACACAAATGATGGTGCTGTGTGGGTCTCTGTCAGGGTTGTGGCTCTCAGCCATGTCAACATGCTCTCCAAATGGAGTGTTGGAAAATGTTCTTTCTGTAGGGTCTAGAGACTGCTGGGCGTTTTTCATGGTGTGCTACTTCAGAATCTCGTAGGATTTTCTTTCTGGCTAAGCTTTCCTTCTGTATCACTCCAAGCATCCTCAGCAGAAGAAGCAGTCATGCCCAGTATTCTCGCTTTCCGAAAAGAATTGACCAGCTTATATTTCTCACACTTCTGGGGAACTGGGTGTAATCCAACCAGCAAAACAGAAGACCTTTCAAGAAGCAGAGTCATCCTCCAGAAGGAACTGGGAGATGATGGTGCAATTATGAAACTGGGTTCATCCCAGTTCCAAAGGCCCAGAGAACTACAGAGTTGAGGCAGAGGCAGAGTGCCCCCACCCTGGCACCCCCCACAAACAGACCACCAGCCAGCTGACACGTGTATTAACTCTCCGCAATGAGGAAGAATCACTCACAGCTGAGCAGGGCATTCATATGACCATGTGAGGACGTGTTTGCCTTATGTGCTGGCAAATAAAATCAGCTAACTCCTAAATCCCCACCAACAGTTCTAGGCTGGACAGCAGAAATGAGCTGCATTTAGGCAGATGACAACATCAGTCCCAGTAAATGAAACCACAGACCCATCTAGCACCAACTATCAGTGCTATGTTAGGGGCTGCAAGGCCCCAAAGTAGAAAATGTGCAGAATGTCTGCCCTTGTGTAGCTGAGGAGTCAATTCCAGCACAGACACTACAGTTAAATCTGAACTGCAGCTACAAGTGATGGCATAAACTAGAACAGTCAAAAAAGACGTTATGATGGGGCAGGGCTGAAGCTGGGCCTTGAAGGATGGATGAAATTTGGATAGAGAATGAGGAAGACAGGGGGAAAGATGCTTCTTTCTCCAAGTGAAAGAAGCATGAAAAATGAGCAGGGGCCTGGATCAGTGGGGTGTATTCAGAGCACCTCTCCAGATGCACCATGCATGCTCACAATCCCTTGCCTATGCTTAGCAGGGTGCCCCAGCCAGACAGGTGAGCTTCACCCCGTGTCCATTTACATGTCCTTCAATGCCCACCTCAAATGGGCATTATACCTCTTCTATAAAGCTTTCCCTGGTATCAGGAGTCAAAATTAACCAGAGATCTTTTCACATTGCTGTTTTTTCCCCTTTGGTCCTTCTAGCACTAGAACTCATCTCGTTCTACCTTATAGCATAAATAATTATTTGTTTTCCTCACTACATTGTACGTGTGGGAATTAGAGATAGACAGAAGCCGGCTGGGTGTGGTGGCCCACGCCTGTAATCCCAGCACTTTGGGAGGCCAAGGTAGGCCCATCACCTAAGGTCAGGAGTTCAAGACCAGTCTGGCCAACATGGTAAAGCTTGGTCTCTACTAAAAATACAAAATTAGCCCAGTGTGGTGTCACACACGTGTAGTCTGAGCTACTCTGAAGGCTGAGACAGGAAAATCACTTGAACCTGGGAAGTGGAGGTTGCAGTGAGCCGAGATCACGCCACTACACTCCAGCCTGGGAGAGACAGAGCGAGACTCTATCCCCACCCCCTGCAAAAAAAAAAAAAAGGGAGAGAGAAAGAGAGCTAGAAGTCAATAATCATGGTGCAATCAAATTCTGGCAAGCGCTAAATATCAGGTTATGGTGCTCACACCTGTAATTCCAGCACTTTAGGAGGCCAAGGCTGGTGGATCACTTGAGGTCAGTAATTCAAGAGGAGCCTGGTCAACAAGGTGAAACCCTGTCTCTACTTAAAATACAGAAAATTAGCTGGGCGTGGTGGCGCACACCTATAATCCCACCTACTCGGAAGGCTGAGGTGGGAGAATCTCTTGAACCTGGGGGGTGGAGGTTGCAGTGAGCTGAGATCCTGCCACTGCACTCCAGCCTGGGCAACAGAGTGAGACCCTGTCTCAAAAAAAGTTAAAATAAAATAAATATCAGGATGCATACATCAGAGGCTGTTCCTGGTGTAAGGGCACTTTGGAGGGAAAAGACTTTCAGAGTTAGGCAGACCAACTAAGAGGTCAGCTGAAGCACCAAACCAGTTGTAAGGAGGTGGAAGGCAGCGCCCCAGAAAGACACATGCAGGAAGAAGTAAAGAGGCTTGGTCGTAAAGGATGGAGGAGTTCCAAAGTGACACTGAGCAGGCTGTGTTTCTCCTAAAATAAAGCCACTCCTCACTCTGTGGATGCGTTGAACACTCACTCCTGAACACCTTTATTCTCTAACTTGCCCTCTTCCTCTTCCTAATATGCTCAGTCAAGTACAATTCCTAGTGTCCTAATGCCCCTGTGCGTATTGTCGAAAATAAAAATAAAAATCAGAAACAGGTTAGATCTGTTAGGTCTTTCAGAAGGATGAAGCCAGAGCCCAGGAATTCTGAAGGTGTTCTTTGGGCTCAGGACACCCTGCTCCTGTCTCTCCTTTCACTGTTTCTCTCCTACAAATCTCCTGATTCATTAACACATTAAATAGCCTTCTCTCTAGGGCTCAGTTCTTAGATTTTCCTCCGTAAAATGCATGTGATCTTATTTTCCTCTCCACAACTTTCCAGATGAACTAGATTGTGACCAAGAGGTGTATAAAATCAAAGCACCACGGAACAGGATCTTGTATCCAGCCCAAGTGGGCCTGTTTTAAACTATGTGCATCAAAACGGAAATCTCAAAGAGCCCTCTGGTGGAAAGCTCTAGTAGGTGAGGACAGTGTCTGCCTGCAGACACCTTGGGCTTTACTGAGGGACTCAACTGAGAAAATGAGGAACACTGCAGCTCATGTTCCTTAGAAGAAGAAAGTGAAGCTAGTTTAAAATATGATTTTAAAAAAATATATAGAACACTCAAACTGCACAGACTATGAGAAAATAGCCTGGTTGGGCCAGCTTGGAAACCAGGCACAGGCAGGAAGGAGCCTGTCTGGTTTGTGCTGTGTCCACAGAGAGAACTTCTTAGATCCTGCCTGGAGAGAAGGAATGCTGGGCTATATTTTCTTCCAGACTCATTATTTTTCTTCTGTTTGACCTTTCTCTGAATTACCCTTGATTTGTATAAATTTCCTCAAGAATAGTGACTGCCTCTACTAGTTGTAAAATGAAGCTATAAGGCCTGGCATGGTGGCCCACGCCTATAAGCCCAGCACTTTGGGAGACCGAGGCGGGTGGCCTGATCACAAGGTCAGGAGTTCAAGACCAGCCTGGCCTACACTGTGAAACTCCATTTCCACTAAAAACACAAAAAAATTAGCCAGGCCTGGTGGCACATGCCTGTAGTCCCAGCTACTCAGGAGACTGAGGCAAGAGAATGGCTTGAACCCGGGTGACAGAGGTTGCATTGAACCAAGATTGTGCCACCGCACTCCAGCCTGGGCAACAGACCAAGACTTTGTCTCAAAAAAAAAAAAAGAAAAAAAGAAAGAAAAAATGAAGCTTGAAGAACAAAGGCAACATGAGGAACTATAATGAGTGGTCGTAAACGTGGGCTCTGACAGTAGAGTGCCTGGGTCTGAATCCTGGTTTCTTAGTCATGTGACCTTAGTCAAGTTACTTTAACTCCACTGTACCTCAGTTTGCCCCTCTGTAAAATGGGGATAACAATAGTTCCTACCTTGTAGGGTTGTTGTGGGGATTAAATGAGGTGTTGCTCATACAGGAATGTGCCTGTGCATGGCAAAGTCCTGGATTATTTTTTAACAAGCTGTTCTTACAGGCCTGAAACCTTCAGAAGATGCTAATCGAAATTTATGAAATAAGCTTCTTATAACAGAAATGCAGCTAGCACTATGCAAAATTAATGTCATATATCAAACTCTTAACTCTCATCCCTCCTTAGTCAGATATATTTTGCTATATGCAATGTTTGTTCCCCCTGTTATACCACAATCTATTGACCTGATGCTATCCCTGTCTCCCAGTTAGACTGAGAAAACAGGATATATCTAACTAATAATAACAATAAATAATAATAATAACGAAGGGCTCCTTGAAGGCAGAGAGCCTGTAAGAATCACTGAGGGTTTATTTTGTATACCAACTGCTAAACTAGATGCTTCATACATTGTTGGTCAATACTTACCACAGCCCTGTAAAGTAGAAATTAATTCTTCCAGGTGACACTAAGGCTGATATAATGAATACCCTGGCACAGTTGGAAAGCTGGGAAGACAGGAATTGAACTCAAGCCTTCTTGTCACCAAGGGCCATGCGCTTGTACTCTGCCATGCAGTTTCTTCTTAGTTCCTGTGGATTCCTCATACCTGGCACTTGGCCTTAGGTGTACATACACCTGCACTTTGCTTAACACATAACAGTTGGACCACAAATAGTTATTGAATGAATACTTACATATACTAATATTTTATGGACTAAAAACAGCTCAAAGTAAATATATTAATATGTTTATTCCATTGCTATCTGGATAACCACTCAACTTTTCTGTTGAAAATGACCATTTAATTAAAGAAGGTTGGATAGAGCTCTCTATATGGATTTTGGACAGACAGGGGTTTCAGGTCATAAATACTCTGATGAGTTAATATAAAATGAGAGAAACTGTAAATTCCCACTACTAAAAATCACAAGAATAACAGAAACAATTGTGCTGAACAATTTAGTGATTTAAAAAAACAGCTATGAATGTTTAGACTTAAATAACCCCCATCCAAGTGTGAGAAGCCCTTGCAATTTTTCAAAACATATGGAAGTGTTAATACACTTTGACAAAGGACCATTTGAAAAGTCCAGAATTCTGACTTAAAGAAGCAAAGTCATGACTAATACATTCTGAGAGACTTGCAGGCTCTGGGAATTCAGACAGGAACGGGTGAGAATTATTAACTGTTGCTGGCTGATGGCCCAGACAGTCCTCAGCAGCCCTGTATAAGTCCCTGGGTTTGGGATGGATCAACTCTGTGACTGGAAAGTGGCCAAATCTTTGCAAATGAGAAAGATTTTTCTTATAAGTTCTTACTGTAGGCAACTAATCACATAAATTATTTGTCAGAGAATTTGAAAACTCTTTCATTTATAACTTGTATTTCCAAGAGTTTATGGGTCATCTCTGCATAGATGTCAGACATCACCTCAAATTTAGTGTCCAAAATTGAACTGACAGTTCTGTCTCTGACCTCCCAACTTGCTTTCCTTCTGTTTTTCCTATGCTAACGATTCACCATGATCAGAATAATTAACATTTATCTGGTGCCTATTGTATACTATTCCCTGTCCCGTCTTATATTTACTCATTTAAAGACCATAAGAAACATTAAAACTCATCTGCCTTCTCAAGAAGATACAGCCATCCTCTGTTTTACAAAGTAGGAAGCCGAGTCACAGAAAGGTGAAGTCTTTAAGGCTGAGTCACAGTAGCTCATCCAACTAGGATTCAACTCCAGGAGCTGGGTACCGAACTGTACTCTTCACCGCTTCACCAATCAGCAGCTACCCAAGGAGGAAAACGTCTTCATCCTTGACTCCTTCATTCTCCCTGTCACCCCAGATCCCTGTACACCATCTAGTCAGAGAATAGGTCCCGTCAATTTCAACTTCTCTACATGGCTTCTCTCAGCCATGTCCCCGTAATCGGCCTAATTCTCTAACACACCTTCCCTCTACATGCTCACTCCGTCAGATCATTGCTTTGTCATGTGTCACCTGGGATGCTATTAGGTAAAGAGCAATCTTTCTAAAACAAGGTTCTTACCACTTCACTTCCATACTAAATATTTTTCCTGGGGGACCATACTCCTTAGCAGTCTGGCCCATCAGACCTTCCAGGCTGTCTCCTGCCTAGTCCCTAGGCTCCAGCCACACAGAATTGTCATGGGTCCACACACCCACCAAATTCTCCCACGCCTTTGCCCATGTTGTGTCTTCTGTCTGGAATGCCCTTCTGTCTCTGGCTTTTTCATACTTCAAGGATCAGACTGAGTATTCCTTTTGTGTGGGCTTCCAAAACCTCCCATCCAAAGCTGTATATATAGCTCTCTATTTATTCTTTAACAGCATTTGGTACACACGTGCAGAGTAGTAGCTTTTATCACATTCTATGATCATTCCATAGCTATGGTATTTTCTTAGCTCTCTCTCCAACTGGTTAATAAGTTGTTTTGTCTCTGAGTACCTAATGAACCTCAGTTCCTCAAAAAAAAGTTTATTTATTAGTTCATTACTAATTTGAACATGAAAATTATGTTCACTAGTGGCAAATGCCACTAACCCTATTCCAGAAGCTAGGTATCACATTTGCAGCAAGATATCTTATCCTCTCCACATGTCGCCTTTTATTTTAGGCATTTGTAAATGTCTATTAATAAAGTATTGTTCATATATTTTACCTTGTAAGTGCCTAAGAAATGAGACTACAGGCTCCATTTCAGCAGATACACACAATAAATACCATTTTATAATGCATCTATTCTCTTTTGCATTTTACTTTGTCTTGGTTTTGACAGCAACAAAAATGAAGTAAGCAGATGAAACAGCAGAGATGGTCCACATGATAAAACCCTGTACCATCTGAAAACCCAGGCCCTGAGGAGGCACAAGAGACCAAGGGATTGAGAGGATGAGACAGACAATGAAAAAAAGAAAGGCTGATGTGGGGAAATGATTGGGACCCTGGGAGGAGACTGAAAAGCTAGAGACAGGAAGGACAGCTACCAGAAACAGACAGAACCCAGAGTAAGCAGAGGTGCTTGGCCACAGGTAGGGAGTAGAGTTCTCCCTTGATCAACCTAGAGAGAGGAAATTGAGGACTTAAATCACATTTTGGGGGCCATGTGCCTCCAGGGCAGGAGCTTTGTCTTTTTTGCCTTTCACTCACAGTGCCCCATCACAGGAGCCAGTGCCTAGTAGAGCTTCATAAGTATTTGTTGAACTGAATTTGGATTGGTACCCACATATCAGGAGAGGAAAGGGAGTCCTGGAAATCACATTCAGAATCTGAGTCCAGAATTAAAGAGTAGAAATTCTCTGTGTCACCAGAGTGCCACTTGGAGGAAAGGGATAAAAAGACTAGGCTTTTAACTGAGGAGAATGAGGTTGTGGTTGCCACAAAACTGTGGGTGGAGGCCTCAGAATGCTTTGTAAACACTGAAGGGGAAGCCACTTACTAAGAGATTCTGTGTGAGATAGCAAATGGCTTTTAGGTCTGAGACAACACCACTTCCCCTATTCCCTTATCAAAGAGGCCCAGCTGCTCTGTTCTGAGCCAGTCTTTGCAGATGAGCCTGGTCTTCCAGCTCCCCAGCTACATCCTCTTGTGGGGTTGAAATTGACTGCTACCCATGAAGAATTTCAGAGTCCTTGAGTAGAAACGCTATAAGCAGATACGGTAACCATTTGAAAAGATAAAGTTCACTTCTCAGTGCTCGCCCTTGAACCAGAAGGAACACAACAAATCTTACTTGCAATATTCTAATCTGTCTTGGCAGTTCATGAAGAACTGGTCTCTATTTCACCTAATTCAGATCTCAAGTGGGAAAGTGCGACTGCTATGAACCCAGAGATTAGACCAGATGTAAAATACAGAAAATTGATGAACCCAAAAGTTGGTTACTTAAAAAGATCAACAAAATTGACAAATTTAGCTAGAGGAGTTGCAGAAAAGAGACAGAGTACTCAAATTCCTAAAACTGGAAATGGAAACGGGGGCAATACAGTCAGTTTTACAGAAATGAAAAGAATAAAAGAGACTACTACAAACAATTGTACACCAACAACTGGATAACACAGATGAAGCAGACAAATTCTTAGGAGCACACAATTTTTATGAAGACTGAATTATGAAGAAACAGAAAATCTGATTAGACCTATAACTGTTACTAAGAATATTAAGTAAATAATTTTCAAACAACTTCCCAAAAAAGAGAAGTTCTGGATCAGAAGACTTCACTGGTCACCGAAGAGTTTTAAAAGATTTTACATGAATCCTTCTCAAACTTTTCCAAAAAGTGAAGAGAAATATATTAATCCACTGTGTCTTCCTTGACAAAATACCACAGACTTGGTAGCTTAAATAAATGAAATTTATTTCTCACAGTTCTGAAGGTTTCAGTGTCCGAGATCAAGGTGCCAGCTGATTCAATTGCTGGTGAAACTCTCTCTGGCTCAGTATGCCCTCATGTGGTAGAGAGAAAGCAAGAACTTTAGTTTCTCCTTTCTTATAAGTATGCTAATCTCATCATGAGGGCCCCACTCACATGATCTCATCCAAACCTAAATACTTCTCAAAGGCCCCATCTCCAAATATCACATTGGGGCTTAGAGCTTCAATAGATACATTTTGTAGAGGCATAAACACTTAGTTCTTAACAAGAAGAGACCACTCCCTAGTTCACTCTGTGAGGCCAGCACTACCTTGATACCAAAGCCAGACAAAGACACTAAAAAAAAAGATAACTACAAACCAATATTCCTTATACATATTTACGTAAAAATGCTTACAAATAAGTAGCAAACAAAATTCAGTGGCATATTAAAAGGATTATACAACATGACTTAGTGGAATGTATTCCTGTTTAATGCAAGGATAGTTCAACATACAAAAATCAATCAATGTAATATACTGTGTAAACAGAATTTAAAAAACTGACACAGAAAAGGCATTTGACAAAATTCAACAACTTTTCATGATAAAAACTATCCAGCAAACTAGAAATAGAAGGGAACTTTCTTAATAAAGATCATATATTAAAAATTCACAATTAACATCATATACAATGGTGAAAGACTGAAAGCTTTTCTCCTAAGATTAGGAACAAGACAAGATGCTCATTTTTACCACTTGTGTTCAGTGTAGCATTAGAAGCTCTAGCTAGAGAAATTAGACAAGAACAAGAAATAAAAGACATCTTAATTAGAAAGGAAGAAGCCAAATGATCTCTGTTCACAGATAATATAATCTCATATGTATAAAATCCTAAAGACTACACACACACACACACAAATTCTTAAGACTAATAAAAATTCAGCAAAGTTGCAGGATGCAAAATCAACTTGTAAAAATCAGTTTATTTTATAAACTAATAAACAGTCCAAAAAAATAAGAAAAATAATTTAATTTATGATAACATCAAAAAGAATAAAATACTTAGTAGAAAAACTTAACCAAGGAGAGGAATACTTGTACACTGAAAGCTCTAAGGCATTGTTGAAAGAAATTATAAAAGATATACATAAACGGAAAGGCATCCTGTGTTCATGCATTTAAAATTGTTAAAATGGCAATAAAATCTACAGATTCAATGCAATCCCTACCCCATCCCAAAGATAGTTTTGCAGAAATAGAAAAACTCATACTAAAATCCATATTGAATCTGAAGGGACACCAAATAGCCAAAATAGTCTCAGAAAAGAAGAAAATTGGAGGCCTCATCCTTCCTGATTCCAAAACTTACTACAAAGATACAGTAATCAAGTACAGACCAATGAAATAGAGTAGAGAGCCCAGAAGTAAACCCTTTAATATGTTGTCAAACGATCTTTGGTAAGGGTTCTGAAAGCACTCAGGGAGGGAAAGGCCAGTCATTTCAACAATTGGGTCTGGGACAACTGGACATCTACTGAAACTATAAAAATCTTATAAGAAAACATGGAAAATCTTTTTTTTAAATTGCATTGTAGGTTTTGGGGTACATGTGCAAAACATGCAAGACAGTTGCATAGGTACACACGTGGCAGTGTGATTTGCTGCCTTCCTCCCCTTCACCCACATCTGGCATTTCTCCCCCTGCTGTCCCTCCCCAACTACCCCCTGCCACTGTCTTTCCCCTATTCCCCCCAATAGACCCCAGTGTGTAGTGCTCCCCTCCCTGTGTCCATGTGTTCTCATTGTTCATCACCCACCTATGAGTGAGAACATGCGGTATTTCATTTTCTGTTCTTGTGTCAGTTTGCTGAGAATGATGTTCTCCAGGGTCATCCATGTCCCTACAAAGGACACGAACTCATCGTTTTTGATTGCTGCATAATATTCCATGGTGTATATATGCCACATTTTCCCAGTCCAGTCTATCATCGATGGGCATTTGGGTTGGCTCCAAGTCTTTGCTATTGTAAACAGTGCTGCAATGAACATTCGTGTGCATGTGTCCTTATAGTAGAACGATTTATAGTCCTTTGGATATATACCCAGTAATGGAATTGCTGGGTCAAATGGAATTTCCATTTCTAGGTCCTTGAGGAATCGCCACACTGTCTTCCACAATCGTTGAACTAATTTACACTCCCATCAGCAGTGTAAAAGTGTTCCTATTTCTCCACATCCTCTCCAGCATCTGCTGTCTCCAGATTTTTTAATGATCGCCATTCTAACTGGCGTGAGATGGTATCTCAATGTAGTTTTGATTTGCATTTCTCTAATGACCAGTGATGATGAGCATTTTTTCATATGTTTGTTGGCCTCATGTATGTCTTCTTTTGTAAAGTGTCTGTTCATATCCTTTGCCCATTTTTGAATGGGCTTGTTTTTTTCCTGTAAATTTGTTTTAGTTCTTTGTAAATTCTGGATATCAGCCATTTGTCAGATGTGTAAACTGCAAAATTTTTTTCCCATTCTGTTGGTTGCCGATTCACTCTAGTGACTGTTTCTTTTGCCATGCAGAAGCTGTGGAGTTGATTAGGTCCCATTTGTCTATTTTGGCTTTTGTTGCCAATGCTTTTGGTGTTTTGGTCATGAAGTCCTTGCCTACTCCTATGTCCTAAATGGTTTTGCCTAGATTTTCTTCTAGGGTTTTTATGGTGTCAGGTCTTATGTTTAAGTCTTTAATCCATCTGGAGTTAATTTTAGTGTAAGGTGTCAGGAAGGGGTCCAGTTTCTGCTTTCTGCACATGGCTAGCCAGTTTTCCCAATACCATTTATTAAACAGGGAATCCTTTCCCCATTAACATGGAAAATGTTAATGACATTGGATTTGGCAAGGATTTCTTGAATATGACACTAAAGGCACAGGCACCAAAAGAAATATAGATAAGTTAGACTTCACTGGCTGGGCACAGTGGCTCATGGCTGTAATCTCAACACTTTGGGAGGCCGAGGCGGGCAGATCACCTGAGGTCGGGATTTCAAGACCAGCCTGACCAACATGGAGAAACCCCATCTCTACTAAAAATACAAAAATTAGCTGGGTGTGGTGGTGCATGCCTATAATCCCAGCTAATTGGGAGGCTGAGGCAGGAGAATCGCTCGAACCCAGGAGGCAGATGTTGCCATGAGCTGAGATCACGTGACTGCACTACAGCCTGGGCAACAAGAGTAAAACTCCATCTTAAAAAAAAAAAAATTGGACTTCACTAAAATGAAAAATTATAGTGGATCAAAAGACACTGTGAAGAGAGTGAAAACACACAGAATTGGAGAGAATATTAACAAATAAAATATCTGATGAGGAATATCTAGAATACATAAAAAACTCTATAACTCAAAAAAAACATAATCCAATTTAAAATTGGGCAAAGGACTTAAATAGATATTATTCCAAAGAAGATATACAAATGGCCAATAAGGCCATAAGCACATTAAAAGATCTCAACATTATTCATAATTAAGGAAATACAAATCAAAACCACAATGAGATATCACTTCACAGTCATTAGGATAATCATTATCAAAAATGAAAAATAGAAAATATTGGCAAGGATATAGAAAAATTAGAACCCTTTTTCCAATTCCAGGTAAAAATGTAAAATGGTGATGCCATTATGAAAAGCAGTTTGGCAGTTCCTCAAAAGGTAAACAGAATTATCATGTGATCCAGCAATTTTACTCCTAGCTGAACCCAGAGAAATGGAGAACAGGAATTCAAAAAGATACCTGTACACCAATGTTCATAGCAGCATTATTCACAACAGACAAAAAATAGAAACAACCCAAGTGTCCATCAATAGATGAATAGATTAAAAAATGTGGTGCATACATATAATGGAATATTATTTAGTCATAAAAAGGATATAATTCTGATACATGCTACAACATGAATAAACCTTGAATAATTATGCTAAGTGAAATGAGCCAGACACAAAAGGAAAAATATTGTATGACTCCACTTATATAAGGTACCTACAAGAAACAAATTAATAGAAACAGTAAGTAGATTAGAGGTTGCCAAGGACTGGAGGGAAAGGGAATGGGGAGCCATTGCTTAATGGTCACCGTTTCTGTTTGGGGTAATGAAAAGGCTTTGGAAATAGTGTTGATGACTATTCAATATTGTGCATATAATTAATGCCACTAAATTGTACACTTAAAATGGTTAAAATGATAAATTTTAGGTTACATGATCACAACATATAACTTAGGTTATTTTACCATAATAAAACAATTCCCCCCCCCCAAATGGAAAAAGTATTTAGATGGAAAGTGAAATTTCCAATTCACATTGCACAATTAAGATTTGTGCACTTGACTTCTGGGCAAGATGGCCCAATAGGAACAGGGTGATTTCTGCATTTCTGACTAAGGTACCCAGCTCACCTCACTGGGACTGGTTAGACAGTGGGTGCAGTCCACAGAGGGCAAGCCAAAGCAGGGCAGGCTGTCCCCTCACCTGGGAAGCACACGGGGTTGGGGATCTCTCCCCTAGCCAAGGGAAACCGGGAGGGACTGTCCTGTGAGAAACAGTGCACTCCAGCCCAGATCCTATGCTTTTCCCATGGTCTTTGCAACTTGCCTACTCTGCTAGGGCCCTGGGTTCCAAGCACAAAACTGGGCAGCCATTTGGGCAGACACCAAGCTGGCTGCAGGAGGTTTTTTTTCATACCCCAGTGGCACCTGAAATGCCAGTGAGACAGAACCATTCACTCCCCTGAAAAGGAAGCTGAAGCCAGTAATCCAAGTGGTCTAGCTCAGCAGATCCCACCCCCATGGAGCCCAACAAGCTAGGATCCACTGGCTTGAAATCTTGCTTCCAGCACAGCTGTCTGAAGCCAACCAGAGATGCTCGAGCTCGGTGGGGGGAGGCGCATCTGCCATTACTGAGGCTTGAGTAGGCAGTTTTCCCTTCACACTGTAAATAAAGCTGCCAGGAATTTTGAACTGGTGGCCCAGGACAGCTCAGCAAAGCCACGGTAGCCAGACTACCTCTCTAGATTCCTCCTCTCTGGGCAGGGCATTGCTAAAAGAAAGGCAGCAACCCCAGTCAGGGGCTTACAGATCAAACTCCCATCTCCCTGGGACAGAGCACCTGGAGCAACAAATGGCTGTGGGCACAGCTCCATCAGACTTAAGCATTCCTGCCTGCTGGCTCTGAAGAGAGCAGTGGTTCTCCCAGCACAGCGCTCTAACTCTGCTAAGGGGTAGACTGCCTCCTCAAGTGGATCCCTGACAACTCTGCCTCCTGACTGGGAGACACCTCCCAGCAGGGGTCAACAGACACCTCATACAAGAGAGCTCTGATTGGCATGTGGCAGGTGGCTCTCTGAGATTAAGCTTCCAGAGGAAGGAACAGGCAGCAATCTTTGCTGTTCTGCAGCCTCCACTGGTGATACACAGGCAAGCAGGGTCTGTAATGGACCTCCAGCAAACTTCAGCAGACCTGCAGCAAAGGAACCTGATTGTTAGAAGAAAAACTAACAAACAGAAAAGAATAGCATCAACATCAACAAAAAGAGTGTCCACATGGAAACCCCAACCAAAAGTCACCAATAGCAAAGACCAAAGGTAGATAAATCCATGAAGATGAGGAAAAACCAGTGCAAAAAGGTTGAAAATTTCAAAACCAGAATGCCTCTTCTCTTCTCCTCCAAAGGATCACAACTGCTCACCAGCAAGGGAACAAAACTGGATGGAGAATGAGTTTGACAAATTGACAGAAGTAGGCTACAGAAGGTGGATAATAACTAACTCCTTTGAGCTAAAGGAGCATGTTCTAACCTAATGCAAGGAAGCTAAGAACCTTGAAAAAAGGTTAGAGGGATTGCTAACTAGAATAATCAGTTTAGAGAAGAGCATAAATGACCTGATGGAGCTGAAAAGCACAGCACAAGAACTTTGTGAAGCATACAGAAATATCAATAGCTAAATTGATCAAGTGGAAGAAAGAATATCAGTTATTGAAGATTGAATGAAATAAAGCATGAAGACAAGATTAGAGAAAAAAATGAAAAGTAATGAGCAAAGTCTCCAAGAAATATTGGACTATGTGAAAAGACCAAACCTACGTTTAATTGGTGTACCTGAAAGTGATGGGGAGAATGGAACCAAGTTGGAAAACACACTTTAGGATATTATCCAGGAGACCTTCCCCCAACCTAGCAAGATGGGCCAATATTCAAATTCAGGAAATACAGAGAATTTCACAAAGATACTCCTCAAGAAGAGCAACCCCAAGACACATAATTGTCAGATTCATCAAGGTTGAATTGAAGGAAAAAATGTTAAGGTCAGCCAGAGAGAAAGGTCAAGTTACCCACAAAGGGAAACCCATCAGACTAAAAGCGGATCTCTCTGCAGAAACCCTACAAGCCAGAAGAGAGTGGGGGCCGATATTCAACTTTCTTAAAAAAAAGAATTTTCAATCCAGAATTTTATACCCAGGTGAACTAAGCCTCATAAGCTAGCCATATGCAGAAAACTGAAACTGGATCCCTTCCTTACACTTTATAAAAAAAAAAAACTAAGCCTCATAAGCTAGCCATATGCAGAAAACTGAAACTGGATCCCTTCCTTACACTTTATAAAAAAAAAAAATTAACTCAAGATGGAGTAAAGCCTTAAACGTAAGACCTAAAACCATAAAAACATAAAAACTCTAGAAGAAAACCTAGGCAATGCCATAGTAAATAGGCATGGGCAAATTCTTCATGACTAAAACACCAAAAACAATGAAAACAAAAGTCAAAATTGACAAATTAGATCTAATTAAACTAAAGAGCTTCTGCACAGCAAAAGAAACTATCATCAGAGTGAATAGGCAACCTACAGAATGGGACAAAAAATTTGCAATCTATCCATCTGACAAAGGGCTAATATCCAGAATCTACAAGGAACTTAAACAAATTTACAAGAAAAAACCAACTCCACCAAAAGTGAGTGAAGGATATGAACAGACACTTCTCAAAAGAAGACATTTATGTACCCAACAAACATATGAAAAATAGCTCATCATCACTGGTCATTAGAGAAATGCAAATCAAAATCACAATGAGATACCATCTCATGCCAGTTAGAATGGTGATCATTAAAAAGTCAGGAAACAACAGATGCTGAAGAGGATATGGGGAAATAGGAAGGCTTTTATATTGCTGGTGCAAATGCAAATTAGTTCAACCATTGTGGAAGACAGTGTGGTGATTCCTCAAGGATCTACAACCAGAAATACCATTTGACTCAGCAATCCCATTATTGGGTTATACCCAAAGGATTATAAATCATTCTACTATGAAGAAACATCCATACATTTATTGCAGCACTGTTCACAATAGCAAAGACTTGGAACCAACCCAAATGCCCTTCAATGATAGGCTGGATAAAGAAAACGTGGCACATATACACCATGGAATTCTATGCAGACATAAAAAAGAATGAGTTCATGTCCTTTTCAGGGACATGGATGAAGCTGGAAACCATCATTCTCAGCAAACTAACACAAGAACAGAAAACCAAACACCACACGTTCTCACTCATAAGTGGGAGTCGACCAATGAGAACACATGTACACAGGGAGGGGAACATCACACACTGGAGTATGTTGGCAGGTAGGGCAGTAGGGGAGGGATAGCATTAGGAGAAATACCTAATGTAGATGACGGGTTGATGGGTGCAGCAAATCATCATGGCACTTCTTACACCTATGTAACAAACCTGCATGTTCTGCACATGTATCTCAGAACTGAAAGTATAATCATAATAAATAAATAAATAAAAGCATCCCCAAACAGCAAAAAGAAAGAAAGAAGAAAATTAGTCTTTTAGAAATTAAGGGTTTTGTTTTGCTTTTTCTTAGCTTTATACTTAAAAATTTCTGATATAATTTGAGTGGAATTGTTTTTCTAATTTTATTTTCAGATTAATCATAGCTAGTATATACAATTGCAATTGAATTATATGTGTTGATTTTGTATCTTTTCACCTTGCTGAATTCATTTATTTGTTCTAGTAGATTTTAGGAAATTCCTTATGGACTTTTACATACAAGTTTATTAAAGATGCAATAAAGGACTTTATCTTTTTTTCCAAAAACAAACAGAAAAAAGATTTGCGTGTTTAGCTCAGAAAAAAGTAAATTGAAAAGTAAACAAAACAGTGGCAGAGGAAGAAGTTCTCACCACGCCTCTGAAGGAAGGGGAAGTCTCAGTACAAAGCATTTTCAGTTTACTGACAGAATGGCAACAGCGTTGACTGCCTCAAGGTCTCAAGCACCAGTCTTCACCGCGGAAAGCATGTTGTGGCTGTTCCTGTTGCTCCTGCTTGTCTTCTGCATTGGCCCAGGTAAATGTCAATGCAGAGCCATGTAGTCACTAGTGACTCCCTGGTTTTATGTCACTAGCGACTACACAGGTCTGCATTGCTCAATCGAAATCGTCTGTATACAGTTGTCTGTCTGGGTCCCTGTCAAGGGATTGGGATGGGGAAGGGCATGCTCATAGTGGTACTTGATATAAGTACCACTCATATACCTCCTCTCAACTTTGAATGCTATAAGCTTGAGATGGTTGTCAGTGAACAATTTCAACTGTGTCTATATGTAAGAAAGTTATTTGTTGGGGCAGAGGAAATAAGCTTTTGCAAGACGAGACTGGTTTATGGCCAGCATACTGTAAAGAGTACCAAGATCAAGAAAATGAGCCCTCATACCAATTTAGCCACTACCTTACTGTGAACCTCCAGAAGGTTACTTATCATCTCTGAACCTCACTATCCTCATCTACACTATTAAAAACCTATTATTCAGTTGAGCCAAAATTTCTGGGCCCAACCAAACACACTGAAATTAATCCTCTCTAGCCCGCCCCCTCAAAAAAAAGGTTTCCATCTCTCCCCTCCTATAGTGCAAATTAGGACTGAGTGCTTATTATATTTCAAGTACTGTTTCAGGTGCTGTACACACATTATGAGTCTCATGAGAATTCTATGAATTTGTACTATTATTATCTCCATTTTAAAAGAAAGAACTCAAGTGAAGTTAATTTAAATAACTTGCCCAAATTTCATTAACCAGCATGCGGCAAGCTCTTGTAATAGTTCTGAAAAACAATGACAATTGAACGAGTGTGGCAGCAGCATAAGAGAAAGACAGGATGGAAGCAAGAGATCCCTTCGATATGGAGTTAAGTAGATTAATTGGCAATTGGAATGAGGGGAAAGGAGGATTCGGTAAGTCATTTGATAAATATTCATGGGGCGCCTATTGAATGTCTGGCACTGTTTCAGTCTGCATGAATACATCATGAACAAAGCAAGCAAAAAATTCCGGCTCTCATGGAGTTAACATTTTAGCAGAAGACAAACCATAAAAACGAACAAACAAAAAAGCAAGTAAAATAGTGTATTGAATAGTGATAAGGAAGAAATAAAAGTAGAAAAAAGAAATTCAAGTAGAAAAGGGAGAGATGAAATACGGTAAAGAGGGCAGTGAAATTTCTGACAGGATAGCCAGAGAAAGTGACAAAATTGGAAGGTGGAGAGCAGCCACAGGAGGAAGGTGAGTTCAGTTTTGGACCTGCCGATTTTAGGATGTTGGCATACCATCCATGAGGAAGTTACATGAAAGTTCCTGGGAATTTAGGACTAGGAGGAGGGCTGAGTCTGGAAGCTTAAAAATCAACAGCATAGAGGTAAGTTAAGCTACGGAGAAAACTGGAATGAGAACAGAACTTTGGGAAATATATATACAATGTAGAAAGAGAGAGAATTCTTGCTTTCATTCAAGAGCCACTTCCTGACCTGGGAGCAGAATCTTGAGTTTTTGTTTCATTTTTACCTCCCTGCAAAATTAAATCCACCTCTAGAATAAAAATATTCTGAATGTCCTCATGTTAAAACTCCTCTTCTTCTCCCTATGTCCATGAATACTTCTTATAATGACTCCCTGAAAGATACAGTGCTCCCATCTCCATTTCACAGATGGGGAAAGAAGGCACAGAGCACTTAAGTAACTTGCTTACTGTCCCACAGTTATGGGGGAAATGGGTATAGAAAGAGAAACACATTTGAATGTGTTTGCAGGAGGCAGATGCAGGTGTTCGGAAGCCCAGGAGGGGAGAAGTGGCTGCTACAACTGGAAATCAGGAAGTCCTGCTCTGGAGTGTGTGCTCATGACTGCTTCATCATACTACTTAACTTACACGCAGTCACATATTCACACAAATGCATATATAATTAGAAAGTGTGAGGCTAGCAAGAAAATAAGCAGGGCACGTTGATAGAGAAAAACACAGGGACCTGCTTTAAACCGAGTGATGAAGAAAGGACTTTCTGGAAAAATAACATTTCATCTCATATTTAAAGGGTATGAAAAGTTAAGCAGGAAACATCAAATGAAGAAGCTTTTAAGGCAGGAGGGATCATATGAGGAAAGATCCTGATGCAGGGAAGAGCGTGGAGCGATTTAGGAAGGGAAAGAGACCCCTGTTGCAAAAGTGCAGGGCAAACGAAATCAATCATGGAAACAACCATGAAAAACAATGACTCATGCCAGCCTACATTATTTCCAATGAATGGGAAAGAATCTTCCATTCTTTCCAAAGAATGGGCACTAGCCAACCCACCTCCTTTTAGAAAATTTAGTTGAAAAGACAAACCTTGTTGAAAAATAATCCTATTTCCTTTAACTGAAGCCCTGGGTGGCAAAACTAACAGAACAAAACAATAATTATAACTAAAATCAAGCATCATGACATCCTAGAGAAAGTGAATCTTGTTTCTTCATTTTAATTTCTATAGATAGAAACCTGTCGAACTTAAATGGTCATATAAGTTACTTGGGGGAATCTTATTAAAATGCTGATTCTGGAATAGGGACTGAGGTTCTGCATTTCTAACAGGCTCCCAGGTGACACCAATGCTCCCTGTCCATGGACCACACTGAACAGCAAGGTCCTAAATTCCACTGGACTTCAGTCACCCTGAGATTTTAGGGAGGGAGAAATAGGAACTAATTTTTGAGTGTGCTTGCAGGAAGCAGATACAGGTATTCTGAGGTCCAGAAGAGAACAGTCAGTGGTTGGAAATATAAGTAAAGCCAACCCGTGAGAGCTGATTCTGAGGTTGAGTCAAAATCTGCAATGTTCTTCTGTGAAGAGATTGTAATCTAATGGCTCCCTGAGCAGCATTATCGACTTTTTGCCAACCATCCACATCTTTAAATGTTTAATATTGCTCAACAGGTAGAGAGTTGTTTTATATTTTTTCATTATCCTCAAAGATGTGTGTTTTTCCACCTTTCAGAATGTACAATCTCCAATGTGACCTCCAATCATTCATACCTCTGTTTTTGGTCCCTTAACCCAGATTCAGCTTTAGTTGTTTCTCTGTCGACACTCAGACATTTTTTATTAAGATGAAATTCCTATAACACAATATAATAATTTTAATGTATAAAGTTCAGTGGTATTTTGTACATTCGCAGTGTTGTGAAACCACCACTTCTATTGTTCTAAAACATTTTCAACACCCTAAAGAACACCCTGTACCCACTAAGCAGTCATTTCCCATTCTCCCCTCCCCTCAGCCCCTGGCAAATACTGATCTGCTTTCTGTCTCTGTGGGTTTACCTATTCTGGGTAATTTCATATAAATGAAATCATGCAATATATATATAACATTTTGTGTCTGACTTATTTCACTTAAATTCATGTTTTCCGGGTTCATCCATGTTGTACCATGTATCTGTACTTCATTCCTTTTTGGCTGAATAATATTTTATAATCTGTATATACTACATTTTATTTATCCATTCATCTATCAATGGACATCTGGATTGTTTTTGCCTTTTTGGCTCTTGTGAATAGTGCTACTGTGTGTACAAGTATTTGACTACCTGTTTTTTATTTATCTTGGTATATACCTAGGAACAGAATTGTTGGATCATATTACTCTAAGCTTATCTTTTTGGGGAATTGCCAAACTGTTTTCCACAATGGTTGTACTGCTTTATATTTCTGCTAGCTAAGTACAAAAGTTATAATTTCTCTACTTGTTTCTTTCCCCCTTTTAAAAAAATTATTATCACCATTCTAGTGTTATTCTGATGGGCTTCCCTTTGTAGGCGACTTGGCCTTTCTCTCTGGCTGCCCTTAACATTTTTTCCCTCTCTTTGACCTTGGAGAATTTAATAATTATGTGTCTTGTGGTTGACCTTCTCATGGAGTATCTTACTGGGGTTCTCTGTATTTCTTGAGTTTGAATGTCGGCGTGTTTTGCTAGGTTGGGTAAGTTCTCCTGGATGATATCCTGAAGTATGTTTTCCAACTTGGTTTCATTCTCCCTGTCTCTTCTAGGTACCATAATCAGTTGTAGGTTTGGTCTCTTCACCTAATTCCATAGTTCTCAGAGGTTTTGTCTGTTCCTTTTTATTCCTTTTTCTCTGATCTTATCTGCCTGTTTTATTTCAGCAACATAGTCTTCAATCTCTGAAATTCCTTTCTCCACTGTTCTATTTGGCTATTGATGCTCGTGATTGTATTGTGATGTTTTCATGTTGTGTTTTTCAGCTTCATCAGGTCATTTATGGTCCTCTCTAAACTGGTTATTCTGGTTAACAGCTCCTGTAATGTTTTATCATGGTTTTTAAGTTCTTTGCTTTGAGTTAGAATATACTCCTTTCGCTCATCAAAGTTTATTATTACCCACCTTCTGAAGTCCACTTCTGTCAGTTCATCTACCTCAGCCTGAGCCCAGTTCTGTGCCCTCCTGAAGAGGTGTTACAGTCATTTGGAGGAGAAGAGGTATTCCGGCTTTTTGAGTTTTCAGCATTCTTTATTGATTCTTTCTCATCTTCCTGAGTTTATCTAGCTTTGATCTTTGAGGCTGCTGACCTTTAGATGGTTTTTTTTTTGTGGGGACTTTTTTGCTGATGCTGTTGTTGCTTTCTGTTCATTTTTATTTTGGCAGTCAGGCCCCTCTTCTACAGGGCTGCTGCACTTTGCTGGGGCCCTGCTCCAGACCCTATTTATCTGGGTCCCTCCCACCCTGGAGGTGTCACCAATAGAGGCTACAAAACAGCAAAGATGGCTGCTTGCTTCTTCCTCTGGGAGCACTGTCCCAGAGGGGCACCAAATTGATGACAGTGGGAATGCTCCTGTATAACATGTCTGGTAACCCCTGTTGGGGAGTCTCACCCAGTCAGGAGGCACAGGATAAGGGACTCACTTAATGAAGCACTCTGTCTGTCCCTTGGCAGAAAGAGTGTGGTGAGATGGGGGGAATCCCACTTATCTAGACAGCCCAGATTCCTCAGAGCCAGCGTCGGAAAAGACTAAGTCTGTTGA